TAATTTGTTTGTGACATGAACTGAGGGGAAAATAACCAATATAAGTAATCAGCAAACGTAGATTGTCCTATATTGACTAATAGTGAATGAATGGTGGTCTGCAGTTTGTTTAAATGGGCACTTGCAATCTGTTTGTTATTATCATCTGATTTACTAAAGTATAACTGCAGCTCCTGGATTATGTTAAAAAATATAATCCAGTACAGCATCCGGCAAGCAAGCACAAAGAAATACACAACGTCGAGTGAGAGAAGAGTTGGAGAGCACTATTAATCTTTAAAATGGATTATTTTCATGTGGTTTCAAAGAGACCTGTTGTCAAAGAGAGTCTTTTTCTGTTGATTTCATGGGTAGTTTTGAAATTAATGATGCCATTTCCTTCACCTTGGACACATGCCAATTAAACTAAAAGTTCCATGCAGCTTCAAACAAAGCAAGCAATATTATTTTATTAGAAAGTTTCAAAACCAAAAAATCTCTACACAGGATTCAAAGGCTTTTATCTGCTCCTGGTGATGGTTAGTCATGAACAAAATCTCTCACATCTAAGACCCCCTGTGGCTCCAATATCGTGAGGATGTCAAGCATGCAGACTTAAGGGTCTTTTTATCCGTATCCTGGTGGTTTGGATTTGCCTTGCCACAATAAGTCAGTGGAAAAAGGAGAGCAGAAAGCAGAGCTAATGCCAGAGACGTCTGGCATTAGTACTTCTGAGCGTTAAGCCAGATATTTTCCTCCTCGTCTTTCAGATGGTGTGAACGCAACAAGATGTCTCCTGAGACGCTGCTTTCACCTCACATCCCTGTGTGGGAACGTCAAGATGGAGACGCATCCATGCAGAAATGCAAAAATGTAGAGCAGAGAAACAACACACACACCCTTGCACACACACAAACATGCACTTAGAGAAATAAGCCACCATGAAATTAGGATGTGAAATTCAAAAAGGTTAAATGTGACCTACAGGATAGCTCCTTATCAATGCTACTGTCATACTTGGTACGCTGTTTTCAAATAAAATGTGAATGTAGTTTAAAGGTATGGCAAGTGTTTCTTCTGATCAACTTGTCTACTGTACATCTTATACATCTTTGACCTGTTGGCTTGCGAAGTACAGCATAATCAACTGAAAGTCATTGTTGGGCTACAAAAAATGTAACAATACAATATTAATGAATTGGAAACACACTGTCAGGGGTTAAAGTAAAATAAAAAAAAGGATAACATCTAGAAAAGACAACACTGTGGTAGTGAACTGTCAATCAAAAGGTGGCCACGCCCTAAAGCACACCCTGTTTTATTGTCTATTTGCCCTAGATTCAACCATAATAAACACATTTCAAATCAGGCTGCATTACAGACATCTCAAAACTACCGATTAAGACCTAAAACTGACTTAAAATTGTATTAAATCAAGTCCCTCCCTGCTGGCTATTGGAGATATATATATATTTGATTGTATCCACGCTGGACTCACTGTTCACCCTGAGGTAGCTGTTGGCTAGATTGAACATTTTGAGCTTTTATTGACGTCTTCGCACTCTGCTCGTCTACACCCACGTAATGTATGTGAGCCTTCTCCTCATGAATATATTTTCTTTGACCTTTTATGATGCTTAAATACTCTTAACTTCATGGGTGAGCTATCCTTTTGCCGAAGGACGATACATTAATGTGCATTCATAGTAAACATCAGTTATCCTTGTACTCAACTCAATATAAAATCCTATTGTGAGCATCAGTGTGATGTATTTGCAGTGAATAAACAATATGTACTCCTTGCTCAGTACCCAAGGTGACTCGCATTGCCCTTGACTCAACAGTTGGCCCATAATACAAAAATAAAGCATACAGCAATTGCACATTTGATGCTTCCTTTATGCCTTATGGATTGAAACATGCAACACAATGTGAAACACAGGGTTGATCTCCGGGGGAAATTGGACTTGCATGATTACTGCAGTGTTATCATCTGCGTTGCACACAAACCTGCCAAGCATGAAATCAGATCTCATAAAGATAGTGTGAATTAAATTTGTGTTTGGATTTAAATCTGTAAATCTCTTATGTGCGGTGTGATATGAGGCTTGTCCTGTTCTCTAGGTGAGAGTATGCCGATGTTGTAAAACTAGACTCCCGGGTCTTTGATTTAGAGAGTTTGAATATGCTCTTTCAATTTGTGACCAAGACAATGATTGCATTAGGGTTGTATAGATGATGAAAGCAGTAAAGACAGATATTGAGGTAAGGCAGAGGAGAGCCTGAACACTATTCAAAGAGAATACATTTAGTCTAGTTTGCTCCTGAATACTGCATTATCCGGAGAAAGTTCCTCAGAATGGGTGCCAATCAGAAACTGAACAACAAAGGATGTCCCGACAAGAAAAGCAGCTTAAACTCTGTTTCTTCTGCAATGAAAAGATCTGACACCGTATGTAAGGATGACAACTAAAAGCCTTTGTTGCTCTCTGACAGATTCGGAGGAAACCTACACAAATCTTTGATCTCGAACACATCCCATCAAACCAGTTCGGGAACAAACTCGGTCTGATGCCGTGTCAGCATTTTGAGAACTAAACGCTCATCAGTGAGTCTTGTGTAACCTCAGAGATCTCCTGGAAATTACACTTCACAGAGGTTGTTTTTTTATAGCCTTTTTTATATTTTGGCTCCTAGAAACGTTACACCAACGGTAACTCTTCATGAACCAAATTGTGGTGATAAATCTTTAAACTGTCCACATGTTGCTTTCCTCACTCCCCCACAATAAGCTTTATTGAGCTAACGTTATAACCTTAAGGATTTATTGTTTGTCTGGAGAAGACCTAGTACAGTAGGTTGTCAATAAAAACATATTTGGGAGCTTGAAAAAGTCTTGGTGTACAAACTCTCCCTTTTCTTTTGCATGCTGCTTTTATTCCTGAACAACTAGGGATGAGTGCACAATGTGGAATTTTTCTTTCGACTATTCTTTGATAATAAACTATTGTCTAAATGAGAAATCCATTAATTCATGAGCTGCTGCCCTTTTACTTCCTTCCCATTTACATGTACACTCTCTTTACTAATGCCTTGCTTTCAATTATTGATTTTTGAGCCCTTTATTCAATACAGTTATGGGTATGTCGTTTTTTCAAGCCAACTGTGTTCAGACTTCTATAAAATAAAGGGTAAAGTACTCCGTGTTTATCAAGAAAACAAATAAGTCTCTCTCCCTGCCTTGTCTTGCGTTTCACTTTAATTCTGTCTGCATATGGTGCAGTGACGACGTGTTTTAATAGGCAGACCCTAAAGTAAGCATCACAAGCGCTCCCTCGACAAAAGACAATGGGACTTTTCCATTGGAATTCAGAATATTAAAGAAAATAAAAATATTTAGCAAATACATTTCTATGATACATATGTCTTGTTCAGCAGGATAATGAAAGTGTAAATCCAATTTCCAGAAATAAAAAGCTAACGTTAGTCTATAAAGGTCGCATGACTTCACGTCACCACTGCTAAGCTAAAGGCGGCTAATGTTGGGCTATAAAGGAACTACAGCACGGTCACATGACTTCACGTCACCACAGCTAAGCTAAAGGAGGCTAATGTTGGGCTATAAAGGAACTACAGCACGGTCACATGACTTCACGTCACCACCGCTAAGCTAAAGGAGGCTAATGTTAGGCTATAAAGGAACTACAGCACGGTCACATGAATTCACGTCGCCACCGCTAAGCTAAAGGAGGCTAATGTTGGGCTATAAAGGAACTACAGCACGGTCACATGACTTCACGTCACCACCGCCAAGCTAAAGGCGGCTAATGTTAGGCTATAAAGTAACTACAGCATGGTCACATGACTTCACGTCACCACCGCTAAGCTAAAGGAGGCTAATGTTGGGCTATAAAGGAACTACAGCACGGTCACATGACTTCACGTCACCACCGCTAAGCTAAAGGAGGCTAATGTTAGGCTATAAAGGAACTACAGCACGGTCACATGAATTCACGTCGCCACCGCTAAGCTAAAGGAGGCTAATGTTGGGCTATAAAGGAACTACAGCACGGTCACATGACTTCACGTCACCACCGCCAAGCTAAAGGCGGCTAATGTTAGGCTATAAAGTAACTACAGCATGGTCACATGACTTCACGTCACCACCGCTAAGCTAAAGGAGGCTAATGTTGGGCTATAAAGGAACTAGAGCACGGTCACATGACTTCACGTCACCACCGCTAAGCCAAAGGCGGCTAATGTTGGGCATGATGGCGTTTAGTCATCCAGTGGGGAATACAACTTTGAAATCTCTTCAGCTTTAGTGAACCACAAACCTTATTTCAGGCATCTAACCAAAACAGATTAAGAAACCTATGGACTTTGAGACAAGTGATCAGGAAGTGGTACAATTCTGACTCATTTCAGGGTTTCAGGACTCATTCCTGCACCACATTATTGGAGCTATGATTATCTCTTGCCCTCTGGGACCCTGACACAGTGTGATAGCTTGACTCAGAAGATCTGTCCTCTTTCATCCAGACTCACTTTCCCTCTGTGGAGTCTGCAGTGAGCCAGAGGTCCTTGGCAACATTTGTCTGCCCTGTTTGTGAACTTTTTTTTATCTCTGGCACTACTCAAGCTCCAGTCGATCTGAGGCCTGCGCCACTTTGTCTCAGGATATGAGTTGGACGGAGAACTGTAGTCTGGGGAGAAGGGATGAGGTCTGACACTTGGACAAGATGCGTTAGGAGGGAAGGCAGGCACGAAGGAGGTTAGCCAAAGACAGATGGGGGCGAGAGGGGGGTTGTCTGGAGGGAAATTTGGAAGAGGGAACAAGGATGTCAACACTGAGGCAAACTCGAGCACAAGACACAAAGGTAACCCGGGAAATTAGGATTTGATGAGCTGCGAGCAGAGGAGTCAAGCAGAGTGATTCTGTGACAAGATTATCTGAGGGGTGAGGAAAGAAGAGCGAGGCCACAATCTGCCTCTCTTCTTCTCCAAGTTTTTGCACTTACCCACTTTTTGAAGAAGCAAGTAGTTGAATACAATGGGAAAAAAAGAAAAGGAAGAAATAAAAAGGTGGTGTTACTGTAAGAAAGAAAATCCATAAACTTCAGAACATAGTGTTTTGTAGGAGAGAAAAACAGAAAATAGGGAAATTAAGAAACCAGTGAGAGAAAATGACCTGAAAATAGGTCGATCAATTCATCAGAAAATGGATTTGAGGATAGAGATTTGGCAGAGAAAGAGTTTGAGAAGGTGTCAAAGAGAAGATGAATGAGATCAGAAATGACTGAAGGACGGGAGTGAGATAAAGCTGACACACTCAGAAAGAAGAATAGGAAATGCGTCAGGGGTTCAGCTGGATGCCAAGAAGTGAAAATAATTAATATTTTATAAGTCCCCCATTTCTCAGTAACAATTTAGAAACTCCCAAACAAATTGTGTTGAGATTCATCTGAATGAATTGCAGATTAAAAGATAATTGAAAACCCCTATGAGGTAATGATTAAGTACTTGGAGTTTTAGTATTTAAAGGGGCCATGTTATGCACATCTTCTGGTTTAATTTGTATATTTAGTGTCTACTGCATACTGTGACATGTTCTTCTGGAGTTAATAAGACATTGTTGATTTCCTAATTCATTTCCAAAACTGTTCCTTTTTAAACCCAAGCAAATACGAATTAATTATCCTTTTGTCATTAATATTTTTGACTTAAATGCTTCCTAATAAAGCACATTTTTGCATTATTAGCTTTTGCAATGCACACATTTGAATTAATGGGATTTAACTGGAATTAAGTGAAACGATTGAACTCTCATTTTAATTATCATTAACACAAATTAAAATCCTTAATTGAAACCTCTTTATGAAATCACAGTCACAGGAAATGTTGTTATCCATAAAACAAAGTGTTTCTCACATATTTTAATACAATAATAAACTAATAAAAATGCTGAATATATACTTAAAGTACATTTAATATGCTGGCAGACTAATTCAACCACATTCATAAGAAAAGTGGGTATTTATTGGCAACTACACCATTTTAAATGTCTCAAATTGGTAATCAGGAGCAACGAATATCTCATTACTTTGCAGAGAAATGATAGCACTATGGGCCAGTTGACCCAAAAGGCCACTGGGTCTAATTGCTATTGCTTACTAATGATCAACATTTAACATAACAACACAATCATCATCTGACATTTGACAAATTGTTTAAGTGATGATTGGAAATAGTTCTGTGCTCGTTGTGTTCAGGTCAGAGGGTTTGGTGTAAAAACAAAGCGGAGGGAGTCACTCCACTGAACACAAATGTTGTTCCAACAAGGACAATTACCCTAATACATGTTTGGGATTAAAAACCTCATTACAGAGTCTTAATTAATGATCTGGAAAGTAAAAGATATTAACACAGAGCAAGTGGTACACGTGTTGCTGAATGTGCCACTATCATCTACGGTAAATATGTCTTTTAATGGCGTATTCTCCTTGCAATCAAACATATACCGTATTTAATTTTGTCTTAATTTACATTATTTAATTTCATATTCTGTTTTTGTACATATCCCATATTCTATTGACATGTATATAGACTTTCTGCACTTTGTATTTTATTATATATGTTGCATTGTTGGAGGAGCTCAGGGCAGAATAATTTAATTGCCATTTCTACGCTGTAGCTTTGTGCATATGACAATACAACCTTTGAATATAATAGTGAGGTTTTTTTAACATGATGAGGTCAAAATCCCAATGGGATCCGTCCTGTCCTTTCACGGTAAACGCAGCTTTTTAGAAAAGTCACAGATAAGCTTTTATACTGCCACAAAGTTACTGCCACCGGTGACAAGGTTGCACATTTCTAGGAATGAGCTCAGAAAAAAACGGGGAATTAAAATGACATAGATAGCGAGCGGTAAGGATATAAGTTCGGGCAATTTGCGTTCTCACATCAGCTGTACGACATTGAGAGGACAATGTCTTTGGGAGATAAAGAAACGGGAGATGTGACATTTGTCTGAGTAGGTGAGGGTGTTTGAGAAAGCCGGGAATAGAAGAGAAAATGAAATAGGTAATATGAGGATAAAATATATGAAATAGCAGAATGTAAAAGAAAACGTTGAAAAGCTGTAAAACCCAGATGTTATTGAAAGGCTCACTGGTGCTGGGGTATTTTGCAGTAAATGTTGCTTCCTTGCATCGTACATAATGTTTTGTATCCGTGTAAAATGAAGAAACTGAGTAAAAGTCATCGTCAGACATTGTTAAGGAATATTTGTTGGTGTTTTTTCACTATGAATGTAAGAGCATTGCTTTCAGATTCAGACCCAACACTCTACTGTTTGTTTAAATCAGGGACTGAGGATTATTGCCAGGTGAACAACATTATAACTGCAATTATCTAAGTAGAAGGATCAAAAACCAGACGTAGGTTGCGGCCAAATTGTCAATTTCGCTTAGGAAGGAACGGACCAGGAAGTAGCTAAGTGCCAGCCATGATAAGATATGTTTTAATTCTCTAGATGATAGGAAAGGAGCTTCAATATTTCCTTTATTATATGAAGCTCAGCGCAAGTTCCTTCAGGAAGACTGGGTATATATACATTCACTCCGCAGCTGCTTATAATCAGCTCATCATGGGCGTCTCTTTAACCTATTACATTTCACCTCATTCTCCAGCAGCCAATCATCGTGCTGCAGCCAACCTTTGAAATGGTTCTCGTCTCTCCTGCAGTCAGCGTGATTTCAGGTTTTCATGCTGCCGGCCGCCTCCTCCCCATCCACCTCCTTTCATCACATCCAGTGCCAGGAGAGCTAATCCAAAGACCTCATCACACCTCCTCTTCATCCCATCTCCTCATCAAATCCAGATCTTCAGCATCATCACCAGTGTCTAGACCCCGGGGGGGTTCCCTATATGCTCACGGCTGCATTTCCCCCTTTAGATATACGATTTCAGGATCGGGGTCTAATCGCCAAAGACTTAACATTTATCATATGGTATGTGTCAATAAATGTTCTTTAGACAAAACGAAGTCGCTCCTGATTGAACTCCTTTATGTTAGGATACACTGGAGAATCATTTAGGAAAGGTTAGGAGATAATTGTGTCCCTTAATTATCTGCTTTCCCAACAATTAACGTTACAAATCATTTGGCTGTTCACAGAAACAACCGATCGTAAAGTTCTGGTGCTTATTAGGCATTTTAAAACTCATGCCATGAGTTGCAAAAATGCTTTTATGTTTTCAACAATTTGTTAAACAAAAAGGCAAAATATGAACGCAACGCAAACTCATGTACAATTATTAAGTAAAGTTTCATCAGTGCAGTGTATGTTCCTAAGTCCTGATGAATTTATCTTCACCACTTTCCCTGAGCCTATGATGTATTTGATTGATGTTAAGGAAAAGTAGTTAGGAAAGGAGACAACAAGGACCTGATTTTTTGACAATTTGACCGCAACCTTGCAATAAAACCCTTTGCTATAAGGTCCAAAGATGCAAATATAAATACAGTTTGACTGATTGACGGATGACAACATACATAGGAAGTGTACTTTTCAACTACTTAGAGAGTTATATGTACAGTATGATTAGGAGAAAACCATCTATGACTAACTGTGTAGCTAAATACCATATATATATACATAGTGTATTTCAGTGGGAATATGCAAAGAGGGGAATGTATTCCACACAAAATGAATATCTCAATTGGTTTTACTGTAAGCCTGACATCATATTACCCTTATCCTTTTGGGATGTTTTCCTATAAAGTAAATGTTAGTGGTTTATGTGTCCTTGTACTTTATTCATGTGGCTCAATACTCTGAAGAACTCCAGTTGAACCTCCTGAAAAGATGTAAGGAACATAACCCCCTCCGTTTTCCTCATGTATTCCTTAATACGCTAAAATCCAATGTTACAGTTTATTTATTTATGCTGCTATATTGAGTACACTGAAGTCAAAATAAATGTGGGAACTCACTTGGGTCTGACAGGATGGAGTCAGTTTTGGGCAGAAACTGGTCACAGCGGATTCCCTGGTAGCCTTCTCGACACCTGGAGGAAAAAAACATAAATAACTGTTAGAAAAATCTCACTTGTCCCCGGCTTGAGCTTCAATCTCAGGATCCATGTATTTGTGATCCTCTCCAGAATGGAAGTAGTCATCACATACAGAGCATCAACTAGTTCCTGAACAGTGTCCTTCACATGCTGATATCCAAGAGAGGGAGTTACACAGTCACAAGATGGAGGAATAGAAAGCAGTATTCAATGTTTACTTCAGATTAGCTCCACGTCAGAAATGATCATGCTTGTCATATGTCTATCTCCATAGAGGCTGAATCATCATGTTAATCACATAGCTATCATATGCCTCAAACAGTCCTGATGCTCTTCTAGGTAATCATACATCCTGTCATGTACTCAGCTACAGTTGGGATACCTTTGTTATCATGTTACTCTCATATTGGAAGAGGACATTCAGTATTTTCCCATCAGTCATAAATCCAGTACAGTAGATTTGCGAGGTATTTGCGAGGCCACTACAACGGATGTAAATGCAAGAGCTGCACAAAAAACCGCCTCCTCGTGTTTTGAGACAAATGTATGTCTTTGTGGAAGTGAGTTAGAGAAGTGCAAAGCAAGGCAAAATGACAGCAAAGAACGAATAGAAAGGTGCTTTTTTTAAGGGTTGAAATCTGCAGAAGACACACAAATTGAGGGTGCAGCAGAAAAAGAGCATCCAAACCAATTAAGTGATACGTTGTGACCTTTCTCTGTGAGTGTTGCTTGGTCATAGAAAACCTTTACAGAACATACCGAACAATATATCAAAAATACAACTGTCTCATGACAAATGTAAGGAGGGGCAACTGTGTGAAGATGGAGCTGAAACTGCCATTGGTGGGAAGTAACTTTTACTCAAGTATTGTATTTAAGTACAATTGTATTTATACTAATCCACTACACAGCTTTACAGTTTCAGGTTGATAGCTATACCACATATCAAATAAAAAATGTACTTTGACTTATAATTATAGGTTAAAATACACAGTAGTAGTATATCAAGTTACTATTAATTAAAGGGGCCATATTATGCTAATTATCAGGTTTCATATTTATATTTTGTGTCTCTACTGTGAAGTGCTTTTTTTTTTTACAAATACACACAAACCTACATAACACACTAAAGGAAAGGGAAAACCCCAACAGGTATAATAATAGGGCCTCTTTAAATCTATTTTGATGCAGATTAATCTATACTTTTACTTAAAGTGGACCTATCATGCTATATTTGAATAGGACCATACCTATATAAGGCATATTTATACTTTTTTTTTTCAAAATACCAAACAGATCATGCATTTTAGCCATGCCTCATTTCGCTCAATTTGACAATTTCTAGCTCTGTTTTAGCAAGGGCTAGATTCTGTGAGAACAGCACCATCTACATGGCCTGGCATATGTACTACAGCGTCTCCAGCGCTTTCGAACGGCAATGGCCGTGGCTGTCTCCTCCTGATTGGTGGAGTTGGCCCAATAGCCGTAGCGCCACCGTCCTGACGTCAGGACAGTGTTCAAATCTGGATCAGTTTTTATCAGATCCGTTGCAGCCCCTTTTTTAGAGATTTGGGTATGGAGGAAAATAGAGAGGGTTGTGTTTTCTGACACTTGGTGAGTTCCCTGGAACACCGGGGACACATATTCATGTATACAAGACGTACAAAAGTGCATTTTGCATGATAGGTCCCCTTTAAGTAACACTTAGAAAGCAGGACTTGTAACAGAGTATTTTTTAAATGTAGTATAGCTACTTTTACCTACTTTTGCTGGGGTATTTTGCAGTTCCTTATATTGTGCATAATGCTTTTTAACCGTGTAAAATTATAATTAAGTTCAACCTATAATTAAGTTTAAGACTCTACTCAACCAATGACATTGTATCTGCTCTAAAAAAATATATTTCTCCTGTGCTCTCAACCCCCAAATTACACCAAGAGGAGGCAATTCTGACTTTCACTTCTCAATTAATTGACAACATATTTCTTTCTTCTCTCAATGGTCCTCAAAGTTTCAAGAACGTTTGACTATGAGTGGCACATGTGTCAGGCAGTGATCATTAAGCAGCTAATGAATTCTGAAATGTGCTCGGGCTGCTCTTCAGAAAATGTCTCAGGAAAAGGTAGTGTGTGTGTGTGTAATTACTTTTGGCTCAATAACTACGTCCTCATGCACCTATAGGAGTGTGTTACAGTGCACAGAGACAGCATGGGGACTGAAATGCCAGAATGAAGTTTAATTGGGAGACTCAGTTCGTTTGGATATCAATCTTCGCCTCTGGCCATTTTAACCAATATTTCTGTTCTGCTACTTTCTGTCCCTCTTGAGGAAAACGCAAAGGTTTTATACATGGAAATGGAAACTTTGGCAGATTAGTTTTTGGTTTTAAATCCTGATTAAAACACTGATGATTTGAGCAGATTTGTTCCACATAGAAAACAAAGATTGTTAGTTTAAACCAGGGGTGTCCAAACTACGGCCCGCGGACCATTTTGAATTGGCCCTCACTCAGCAAACTAAAAACGTATAATGACTTAAGTATAATAAACTTCTGCTTGTCTTACTTCTTAAATACTGTATATATGTTCAAATATATTACACAGTATTCATGTGTTAATAAGCCCAGTTTTCAAATAAATTCAGTCAATTCAAGTTGAAAACATGTTCTAATAAATCTAAGGTGATAAGAAAAAAGCCCAATAACAAATGTAGAATAATCAAGAATAATTTACCTACATTGATTATTATTATTATTATAACTGAACTTATGAGGCAAGATACCTCAACTCTAGGAAGTGGCCCAACCCTTCTTATATTTTCCTGTATGTGGCCCTCTGTGAAAAAAAGTTTTGGACACCCCTGGTTTAAATTACAACTACCATATCAGAGATAGGTGAATTTCAGTGTCAGATGAGATAATACAATATTAATAGTGATCTGTACAAGTGACGTGAAAGAGCCTGATAGGAAGGGAAATATATCCAAGCCTCTCCTGCTTTTAGAAGCCCCCCAACGGAGAAAAACATCCACGTCAATCCAGACAAAACACCAGAGCTGTGCATGGAGATCAAGCTTACAAAGAACACATCGACATATCAAAGATGTAGGCTCCATGCAGAGTGTACCCTCTTTTTGTCTTTCATCTACGGTGAGTGATTTTTAATTATTCAATGAGCTGCAGTAGGCGGGGGAAAGGTGCTGCACATGCCAGAGCTTTGCTTAAATAGCAGGTGAGAAGAGAGTCTGTGACATTGAGTCTAAAACAAAACTGATCTTGGAATCTGTCTTATATTTAATGGGTTAGTTTATCAAATTAAAGAGGACATATTTTGCTGATTTTCAGGTGTATATCAGTATGTAGTGTCTCTACTTTAAAGAGTCCTCTCCTGCTGATGTTCAGGTGTATATCAGTATGTAGTGTCTCTACTTTAAAAAGTCCTCTCCTGCTGATGTTCAGGTGTATATCAGTATGTAGTGTCTCTACTTTAAAGAGTCCTCTCCTGCTGATGTTCAGGTGTATATCAGTATGTAGTGTCTCTACTTTAAAGAGTCCTCTCCTGCTGATGTTCAGGTGTATATCAGTATATAGTGTCTCTACTTTAAAAAGTCCTCTCCTGCTGATGTTCAGGTGTATATCAGTATGTAGTGTCTCTGCTTTAAAGAGTCCTCTCCTGCTGATGTTCAGGTGTATATCAGTATGTGGTGTCTCTACTTTAAAGAGTCCTCTCCTGCTGATGTTCAGGTGTATATCAGTATGTAGTGTCTCTACTTTAAAGAGTCCTCTCCTGCTGATGTTCAGGTGTATATCAGTATATAGTGTCTCTACTTTAAAAAGTCCTCTCCTGCTGATGTTCAGGTGTATATCAGTATGTAGTGTCTCTACTTTAAAGAGTCCTCTCCTGCTGATGTTCAGGTGTATATCAGTATATAGTGTCTCTACTTTAAAGAGTCCTCTCCTGCTGATGTTCAGGTGTATATCAGTATGTATGTAACATTTTGTATGTGTTTGTGCAGTTATATTTGAAGTGGCATCTCCGATTCATCAGAGAAAATGCTTAATATCCTGCAGGACAAGTGCATTGATTGTGTACTAAAATCAACAACAGTACACTGTGACAGTGATTATTGTGTAAACATAAATGCAAAGTATGGAATTGGATTTTTCCGCAATCTAGTCACATTAACAGAAGGCATTTTATTATCGAGCCTAGGTTTAGAGTGGAGGTATAAAACCTTGCTCACAGCTGACATTTTGGAATATGCAAAAAAAGCCCAGGCGTAATTGATTACATTAAATCACCTGCATTTAATCCAGGCTATTTTCAGAGTATTGTGACACCGGCTTACTGGCATGTCGACACCTGATGGAGCTGAGCCTCTGTTAATGACATTTGTTTCACCTATGCTTCACCCGCTATGATTAGTGAAAATGACTGCAGTGGAAAAGGTGTATTTTGCTCACTGTCTGTCACTGTGGAATAAGAAGAGACTGAAATAAAACAGAGCCATCGTTAATGTTATTAGCAACACCTGTGACAAGTTAAAAGGACTATATTATATTTATACAATCCTACAGCCTGACTAACACGACAGGAGAATATAAATCAGCATGCACATTGACATTAGTTCATCAGCGTGGTTTAATTTCAGTCTGAATGCAAATTGGATCTGAAGCCAACGGATGATATTGGACAGAGACAAATCCTCTAGCAAACAAATCATTGAATACCAGAATACAAAATAAATATGCACATCTATGTATGAAAGCCCACAATCAATCAATCAATCAATCAATCAATCAATCACACTTATTTTTGTAGCACTTTTCATATTCAAAAGGTAACACAAAATGCTTAAGAAACCAACAAATTAAAACAATAAAAAAGTGATGAATTAATAAACACAGGACTGACTACAAAAATACAAAAATAAATAAAACATGAATAGAATTAGAATAAAATATTATTAAACAAAACTAATAATAATAAAAATAA